AATATAACTACGTCGAAGTATAGTTTTCGTACAGGTATCAGACATAATTTCGATTTCATGCAAGGGTCTAGATTAAAAATTGGTTTGGCTATTTCAAGATCCCGCCTATGAATTCCTCAAATTTTTGTTCGTAGCGAAAGGATGAAGTTACAACGAACGGGGAGTAGAACTAGAACCGAGTTCAGATCTAGAGAAAACTAAAACTTTGGCTAGGAAATCCTCACAGACGGCACCAAATTATTTGACCAAAAAATTTTAACTTTTTTTGTTAAACTAATTAAATAAGAAGATATGGGGTAAATCCTAGCTAGAGAAAATTTATTCTAGATCTGAGATAGAAGACATGAATAAACAAGCATAACTGAACGTAAAATTTGATTACAATCGCGATTATATTCCATAGTGTAAGAAAAGGAAGATGGCTCCCAATATCTCAAATGATAACGAAGAATACATAGAGAAAAAGAGTCATCATTCTTGAACAAAATAGACCTCCGTACATTTGATAAAGTTGAACTATAGATGACTGCCAGGGTCTTGAGATTTGTCTCTCTTTTGGCGGAGAGCTTGAGAGGATGGAACACCTTCTCCTTCAGAGAGATATATGTGTCTGTATGTGTTCCCATCAGCCCCCCTTCTGTTTCTCTCTCTCATGATATTTATACAAAATACTTTTCTTACCCAGGGTCCTTAACCGGAGTACCTAAGTTCTTGAAATATTCTCTAGAGTATTCCTCTAGAATGTCTAAGTGTTAAACTAGCCGTTCGGGCCAAACTGAGTGCTCGTCCTAGACCGTAGCTGAATCATTTGCTGGTGTATTGCTTCCTATACGTGACTTCGGCTTGGTTGACTCCTGGTTGTTCTTCCTTAAGTAGAACTCTTTTTATCCGATTTTCACCTATACAATACTCACATCCACGCCCTCTTCTCTCGCACACATATATAAATTCAGGATTTAAAATTATGAATTTTATTTATAATAATCTTATGACTAACATATATAACAACTAAATTTACGGTGAAATATTTATAGATGGTAGATGAATTTTTTAATACTAGTATTAGGGTACGCGCTCCGCGCGTGTACCTATATTAATGAATACACAAATTTTAAAAATTACATGCATGTTATTAGATAATTTGTTTGAGTTATAAAATATAATTTAAGATGTTTTTTTAAAATAATAAATATTATTCCCATTTAGTTAGCTTAACAAATGAATGAATTTTATTTAGATGCCTTATTGTTATTTTGTCTGGAATTATGTCCAAACTTATGATTTATGAATTGTTAATATTTACAATTATTTAAAGATTTATCAAATAACAGAAATTAAAAATTAAAACTTTTGGTCTCTTAAAACTTTGCGAATGAAAAAAAGTTGGCATTATACCTCTTAAGAATTTGATAGTGACAATGTAAAGTTTAAAGAATGAGTAATATTGAACTAATATTTTACAAGATAAAACTTAGTATAAAAATTGTAGCGAGACGTTTTCATTTGTTAGACTGAATGCAGAAAGAAATAAATGATAACTTATTTATAATCTGGTTGCCTTCTACAATTTTACCTTATTGCTTAAAATTTATTTTTTCACCGTTTTGAATCTTTATTTTTACTATAATTAGTTTTGCTATATTTTATGATTTCTTTCACCGTCGATATTCTTCTTACAAAAATAAAATTTATGTACTTTAAGTGTTTTGTCAATTTAACAAAAAAAAAAATCTTATATGATAAATTTGTAAAATAATTGAATTGGATTCGTTTACTAATTAATTAATTCAATGACTTAATTATTTTTTCTCAACATTAAAAGAAATAACTTGATTTTTCTTAATTCGAATTTTGAATATTTGCTCATTCTAATTTTTAAATATTTTAGAATAATTATAATTTTTTCAATAAGAATTCGATTTACAAATAGTAAGAAAAAATATATGTTTTGAATCTTTATGTTTTCAGAATTCGTTGCGTGCTTGACTCCTACGTAATTTTGCTAACTCACGTTTTGCATAATAAAGAATCTTATAGGAATAGTCCAATACAACTCTAATATTAATGGGCTTTACATAAAGAAAATTTTAATAATAAAATTTTAGTTAATTTTAAAGTCCTAAAATTAGAAAAATAATTAAATGATTATTTTATCTATTATAAAATCTATTTTTAAAGAGCAAAATTGATGAATGATATTTCGCTAAGGACTTTTATGCTGATATGTAGATAAAGATAATGCTCTAATAAGATGTACAATTGCTCCAACTATACCAAATAGTTAATATTTTGGGACGGTTCTAATTAAATTTGTCAATATGTTAACATAACATTTCAATAAATGGAGAGAGAAGAAACCAAAATTAAAAAGAACAATTTGTTATAAAACTTGTTTTGCCTATTTTTTCGCTTTTGGTTATCAAATTAGCCGATAAGTAACAGAAATAGACTAAAAAGTATAAAACTTATTTACATATAAGTTGGATTTGCCCAAAGATAAAATTTTATTATATTTAACTATTTAAGTTCAAGCATAATATATATTATTTATAATAAAACAAAAAGGGTAAAGACTTGAAAAATACATATGCCTCACGGGAATTTGGCTAAAGATAGAATTTTATTATATTTAACTATCTAAGTTTGATACTAAATATGATTAATTATTTTTTTATCAAAATAAAATGGCCAAAGACTTGGAAAAATATTGCCTAACGTACGGTTCTTAACATGGTTAAGAAGAAAAACTTGGAAACTTTGAAGGATTTAAGAAGAGTCCTAATATTTAGGATCTTGTACATAGTTAAAATAAGAAAGTATTTAATAAATAAATTTTAGTTGATTTCAAAGTCCAGATTTTTAGGAAAATAATTAAATGACTATTTTACCTACTATGAACTCTATCTTTAGAGGGTAAAAAAGGCGAACGGCATTTCGCTAAGGGCCTTCATGCTTTTAATATAATATAAATATAGATAAATACATAATATTATAAATTAAACAAATACTATTAGGCTCACGTAGACTCATAAATTTTAAATTTTTAATATTTTATAAATATTATTAAATAATGTATATTTTTGAAATGCAATTGTCGATTGACTTTTTAAATTTTTTCTAGAATAATCAAATTATTTTCCTAATATTTATTATTTTGAAATGAACTAAAGTTTTGGTTATTAAATTCTTTCTTATTTGAATTATATAAGAAATTCCTAAATATTTAGGAATTTAAAACCAAATAAGACTTTACTTGAATAAATTCTTAATTTGTTTGGTAAGGTTTCTTACGTCTATTGTTATTTTTGATTTGTTTAACGGACAAAGAAAGTGTTAGTTTTAAATTATAGTCTTTTAGCTCACTACAAGTATTTTATTGGATATATTGAAATTAGAAAAATTAATAGGACGGCGTAATAGTTATGTTGCGTTATTGAATAAGAAAGTGATTACAAAAGGTAAAATTTTAATTGATTTTAACTTCCTAAATTTAGGACTCCATATTGATTTTAAAGCCCTAAATATTAGGGAACTATCTTAAATGACAATTTTGTTCAGTGTAAAATTTATTTTTAAAGGGTAAAAAAGGCAAACGACATTTCGCTAGAGTCCTTCGTGCTTTTAATATAGTATAGTTATAGATAAATACATAATATTATAAATTAAACATATACTATTAGGCTCACGCAGACTCATAATTTTTAAGTTAGAACTTAGGTATGCATGCCTCCACACCTGCTATATATGGTCTTTCAGGTTTCAACACCAAGTCACCCAGGGGTGGAGCTAGAGTTTCGGATCCGCATTCGGCCGAACCTAGTAATTTTGGTCCAAATTCTGCATTTGTCTTTAAAAATTTATTGAATATGTATAAATTATTAATTTAGAACCCAATAACTTAGAAGGAATAAAATTTTGAAGCCATGACCTTCAAATTCTGGCTTCGCCTCTGAAGTCACCCTACCGTACTTCAGACCTTCATCTCCAAAAATAAAAAATTACACGTACTCGTTATAAAAATAATAAATACACAAGATATGTTGTTCACACAACGGGGATTTATAGCCTAATAACAGCTTGTTTGGATGGTTGTTTCCTGTTTCATAATGTAACGTATTGTATTGTATTGTATTGCATTGTTTGATGAGTACAATGTTTGGATAGATTATATCCTTTGTCGTCGTTTCATGATATCACCCACAAAAATATGAAGAATAAAATGGCAACATTCCTAAGATAAAATAGGATACGAAGTAAAATTATTACATAAAAAAGTAATGTAAAGAATAAAATATGATTTTTTAATAATAAAGAAGGACAAAATAAGAGGAAAAAGGCAAGGTAACGACACCATTACACCTAATTCGTCGTTCCATAAAGTGACACTTTTTGTCGTTACGTAACAACGAATTTAACGATACAATACAATAAAATTTAAGTAATAATCAAAACAAACATTGTTTTTAATGTAATAATACGATACAATACAATATGTAACAACCATCCAAACAAGTTGTAAATGGGGCACGTGAATACATGGTTTCTTTGTCAAACTAGGTATTTTATGTATATATTTTCTAGAATTGATCTAATATTATCTGCTGGTACACATGTTTCAAAGAGGCTGAATGATGCACTTGATTGAATTTTGAGTAATTTAACTAAAACAACTTTATTATTTAACTACAGTTAAGTAATGCATCTGTTTAAATTTAATGTATTATTACTATTTATTCACTACAGTATAAATTATGTGATTTGGTACAGATATTAAGCATATAAGATTTTTTCAGCTTCCTGCACCTCAGTCCATTTTCACCCTCTATCGGGCCAACGCAAAAATGAAACAAAATAAAAAGATATTGAAAAAAAAGAAGAGGAAATGAAAATAAGCAAAGGGACCCACCACCCTGCGCAAAAGAAAAAAGAAGAAACTTTTGCTGGTATATTCACTTCTCTCAATATATAAATATGGCATTGAAGGGGTAGACAGACAAACATTGCCACTAGGCTTCCCTTTCATGTTACTAATTTAAGGTGTCTTTGTTCATGTTCCAGTAGTAAACCACACAGCAAAATATATACTACTACTGATATTCTGAGTGAGATACATTTTCAATTAGAGCTCATTGTTGAGTGATCGCTCGCTATTTCTGGCTGGAAAAAAGTAGAGGAAGAAGTAGAAGATGGAATCTTCAGACAAAGTAGTAGAGACGGTAATAGTTGGGAATTATGTAGAGATGGAGACTGAAGGAAAATCTAAAGATGTTAAGTCAAAAATCTCTAAGTTTTTTTGGCATGGTGGTTCTGCTTATGATGCTTGGTTCAGCTGTGCCTCTAATCAGGTAATTAATTATGTAATTTCTTTCAATGACTGCATTTCTAATTAACTTCTCAAACAAGTGAAGATAAATTTGCTGCCTTACACATGGTCCTCATTAGAGGCCGAACCATAATTTTAACTTAATGGATTTTGAATTTTAAAATGATGACTTCAAGTACTAATACGAGTGAGTGTCTAGAGTAAACAACATCTTCACCTCCCAATGACAGGGGTAAGGTTTGCGTACACACTACTTCCTAAAAGCAGATCAAGATCAAGGATTTAAATCCTATGGGTTCAACTTTTAAGGTTTTTAGTATTGAACCCGTTATACTTTCTAAAGTTATGGGTTCACATCCACTATTTTTACAAATTTAATGAATTTTTACATATAAATTTTTACTTCGCGTCGAAAGTTATGTGTTCAATTGAACCCGTTGGTAGAAACACTATATCTGCCTCTTCTACCTCCCAGACTTCACTAGTGGGACTCTACTGAGTTTTTGTTTGACTTGAAGTGCTATTAACTGGGTTCTAAATTTAATATTTATGCATATTTAATGAACATTTTAATACAAGTACACTGTTTGAGCAAAAGCTACTTGGTTTGGCCTAACTCGCATTCGCCTTCTAGCTCCACCGCTGGTTCACTTCTTAATTTGTTGCCTTTTTTTCCTTTTTTTTTTCAGGTAGCTCAAGTGCTATTGACGCTGCCATACTCATTTTCTCAACTAGGAATGCTTTCTGGGATTTCATTTCAGCTATTTTACGGTTTAATGGGTAGTTGGACAGCTTATCTTATTAGTATCCTCTATATTGAGTACAGAACCAGAAAAGAAAGAGAAAAAGTTGATTTCCGCAATCACGTTATTCAGGTTTCAACAATATAATCCTTCTCCTTATATTTATCAAATAAATACTATATTTCACTGGTTCGAGTCTTAGAATCAGTCATAAGATAATATTTGTATTAGCATAAGCAGTATATGTCACACTTCTTGAGTTGCGCGTCCTTTTCAAAGGGAGAAATTTAAAAATAGCCAGTTCTACAAGTGGTAATGGAAAAATAATCAAAATTTAGCCATTTTTTGTGTAAAAGATAAATCTAAACAAAAATATTATTCAAAATTTATGCTGGAGTTTGAATTTTTTTTTAAATGTGAACTTCCAGTATAACACGCTCGAATTTTATAATGTGTTGAAGTTCCAACATAATATGCTGGAAGCCCATGCACATGTGCTCCAATCTCTAGTATATTGCTGAAACTTTCCAGGTGATGGAGTTCCAACATAATATGCTAAAAGTTCATACACAGGAGCTCCAATCTGCAGTATATTACTTAGAACTTCTGTATTGCAGCAAAATAGTGACTATTTTTCAATTACTTTACAAACACTGTCTATTTTTCAATTTTCCGTCCGAACACTGACTAGCTCGTGCTATTTTGACATTTTTAAACTATGCGTGCATACGGGATATTTTATGCAGCACGCTGACCTGCTCTTTGAATAAAACACTCAAAATAAAATTTCATCCAATAGTAGTAAATATTTACCGATATATATTTGTGCAGTGGTTCGAAGTTCTTGATGGGCTACTTGGAAAACATTGGAGGAACGTGGGTTTGGCATTTAATTGCACTTTTCTCCTGTTTGGATCAGTGATTCAACTCATTGCTTGTGCAAGGTTCATAATTAATTTGTTGCTCTGATTTTTTTCTTGGATCCATATTATCCAATATATACAAAAATTAATGTCTATGTAATTTTATTGACTTGCAGCAATATATATTACATAAACGATAATTTGGACAAGAGAACATGGACTTATATTTTTGGTGCTTGTTGTGCCACCACAGTCTTCATTCCTTCTTTCCACAATTATAGAATCTGGTCTTTCCTTGGCTTGTTAATGACCACTTTCACTGCTTGGTATCTTACTGTTGCATCAATACTCCATGGCCAGGTACCTGCTTCTTTTCCATTATTGTATGCATTACTGTATTTCTTTTCAGTAATACTGTAACCAAAGGCGGACTCAGGATTTGAAGGTCGCGGTGCACTTTTTGATTTAATTAAAATCTACTTTGTATATAGGGTGCCCACTATTAATATATCACTATTTTCTAAAGACAAATACATGTATACATAAAAAATTTGCCGAACTTTACGGGTGTCGGTGACCCCTCCACTCTGACTATAACTATGTTTTTACTGGGCCAAGGATCTATCGGAAACAACCTCTCTACCTTCACAAGGTAGGAGTAAGGTCTATAAACACACTACCCTTCTCAAACCCCAATAGTAAGATTATACTGAATTTATTGGTATTGTTGCTGTTAGAGCGGACTCAATTGAAATTAATGTTTTGGGTTCAAACTATGTGCATATGCACGCGGAAGAAAAATAAATGTATACCTATAATAAAATATATCGAACTCATTTTGAACCACTTCAAATCCTGAGTTCGCCTCTAATTCCAATACATCACATGCTTTGTTGGAAAAATTGAGCATATACAAATTATTTAAAGGCAGAAATAAAGAAAGAGGAGATAATGCTATACTTTAGAATTTTGAGGCTCCGTTTGGCCATGAGTTTTGCCAAAATAAATTTGGAATTTATTTTCAAAACTCATGTTTGACCATAAATATTGCTCACATTTTGGCAAAATCCCAAATCCCAAACCCCAAATCCCAAAATCACCTCAATTGCTGATTTTGGGCCAAAATACCAAAACTTGGGAATTATATATATGTTTTTCCAAAATAAAGTTGGAAAATATATTTTGAAAACGTATGTCCAAACACATTTTCATCTTCAAACCAAACTTCAACTAAATCAGATTTTTCAAAACAATTTTGAAATCCATGGCCAAACGTTAGCTGAATTTTTTACTAACATGAGATGAAAGTTTGAAAATCCAAGTCTACCACATTATTAGATGAACTGTCAAGTAAACCTTTAATCATAACGATATGTGGGAGTTGGATACATATTTAATAGTAACTACTGTTTTAATGATGTTTTAATTAAGGAATTTATTCAATTTTTGTGACTAAAAATACAGGTGGAGGGGGTGAAGCACTCGGGTCCAACCAAGTTAGTACTATATTTCACAGGAGCCACAAACATTCTCTACACATTTGGGGGACATGCTGTTACTGTGTAAGACAAATAAGCATAAAATATTTTATTTTGTAACGTCTTTTTCACGTTTATCTCACTACCGTAAATCCATAAACTGAAAAATGTAGGGAAAAATATATATATTTCTTTAACGTTATTTATTCTATCGAGAGTTTCTCCTATTCTTACCAGTAGTATTAGTACTAGTATTTTTTTATTTTTGTATTCTTAGATCTTTAGTTCTATTTTGTTGCTTCTGTTTCACTGTCTCTTGAGTCGAGGGTCTATCGGAAATAACTTCTCTACTTTCACAAGGTCAGCCTATATATTATCCTGCCTAGACCCCATTTGTGAGATTATACTGAGTTTGTGGTTGTTGTTAACGTTATTTGTTCCGAAAGTGACTTGACCTTGACTTGTTTCGACAATATTATGAGCATGTAATGTATAGTAAACTATCCTTTTTTTGTCAAAAAGGTTTAAATCTTTAGCATTTACTACACCATGTCCAATCTTTGTCAAAACGCTATTATTTGCTATAGTTGTGTATTCATATTCACTGTAAAATTTGCATGTGTTTATGTGAATTGTATAGTGGTTTCACTTTTCAGCATCTTTTTTTTTTCATGAACAGAGTAGAGTGCCTTTTCTCAGGCGTGAGAAGCAAAAAAAGTTGCACTTTAATTTTACCCTTTTCAAGTTGGAAAGCTACAACTCTTTTTCCAATCACTTTTATTTTTCCTATAGAATCAATCAATGAGAATGGAAAAAGAAATTATTTTTAATGGGAATAGAAGAGGCTTTGGTGTTTTAGCCAGTGGGCATCTCTTCCTCCTTTTCTCTTTTGTCACAACTGTTAGATTCTTTTTGTGTTTAATAAGAAAGGAAAAGCAAAATAGATACTGAAAATGACTCAGATATTAATGAGATCATTTTTACTAAACTGGATATTTGGCTACTCTTTCAACTGTAAATCCATTTAATTGAGGTTCCTATTTATTGTTTTAGGATGGAGGTGATACATACTACTCCATTCAGTTCATCTTAATTGTTTTTTTTTTGTTTTTACATATATTAAGAGATTCCTCTTTTAGCATTAATAATTAACAATAAAATTGATTGTATTTATATTAATTTGTTCATTAAAAATATAACAATATTCCTAGGATCTTTACTTCAAGGGCAGCTTTGAAAAAAAAAGAAGTTAATTCCTTCTTGATATATGGAAAAATTAAATATTGTGAACTGCAAAAAAAAAAAGCTAAAAAATCAATTAAAATGGACCAGAAGGAATACTACGAAGTATTTAGTATCAATTTATTAACCAGTTGCAACAAAGAACATATTTTATTTTTTAAGTTAATAATCAAAAAAATTATGAAAAGTTATAAGTACTCTTTTATGTGAGGTTTATAATGTAATAAATTTGTACACAATCAGTATATAGAAATTAAACGATCGAAGTGTTGTATAACTCACTAGCTTGTAAGTACTTATGCTAGAATTAATTAATCATTTATAATTGAATTACATGCTCAAAATTGTATGAGCACGCGTAATTTAATTAATTTGTGGTAATTTTTTTTACAGGGAGGTAATGCATGCAATGTGGAAACCACAAAAGTTCAAGGCAATTTACTTATGGGCAACACTCTATGTATTGACACTCACACTTCCATCAGCAGCAGCAGTGTATTGGGCATTTGGTGATTTGCTTCTTGATCACTCCAATGCCTTCTCTCTCCTTCCAAGAACACCCTTTAGAGACATGGCTGTCATACTTATGCTCATTCATCAGGTTAGAAACTAATTTTTACACGACCAGATCACTCAAAAGATAAAGTAATTATTTATAAATACTAAAACTAATGAAATGAAGGGGAACTTTGGCGTAACAAGCAAAATTGTTGTCATGCATGTGATCAGGAGGTCACAGGTTCGAGTCGGGAAAACATTCTGTTGCAGAAATGCAGGATAAGGCTGCATACAATAGACCGTTGCGGTTCGGCTCTTCCCTGAACGCGCGCATAGCGGGAGCTTAGTGCATCGAGCTGCCCTTTACTAAAATTAAAAAATAAGATAGGTTACACTATTATAGATTCAGGGAGAGATGCAGTTTTGAAGTACCAAGTTCATCTGAACCTAATATTTCTGACACGAAGCATAAATTTATGGGTAAAAATAATTAAAATTATAATAAATTATAGATCTGAATCTTAGCATAGCTTAATACTAATTAAGGTTCTTTAATGCTAAGAACCTTGAAGGTTAAACCTATAGATTTTTTAAATCCTAAATTCGCCTTTGAATAGATTAGCATACATTGCTTCTGGGAATACACTGAGTATATTGTTGTTGTTGTTGTTGATTCATCTTCTTGTGCTGAGGGTCTATCGAAAATAGCCTCTCTACTCTACAGTGTAGGGGTATGGTCTGCGTACACATTACCTTTTCCAGATCCCATTTGTGGGATTATACTGGGTTGTTGTTGTTGTTGAATAGATTAACCTACATTGATGTATAGTAACACTTTTGTACATTCTCCTATCAATTACTAGCTGCTTTATTCATCAAATTATAACATTGGGGTTCTCTTTTTATTGTTTGAATGCAGTTTATAACATTTGGATTTGCTTGCACTCCATTGTATTTCGTATGGGAAAAGGCCATAGGCATGCACGAGTGCAAGAGCCTGTGCACAAGGGCGGCGGCGAGGTTGCCGGTGGTGATTCCTATATGGTTTCTGGCCATTGTTTTCCCTTTCTTTGGTCCTATCAATTCCACAGTTGGATCACTTCTAGTTAGCTTCACTGTCTACATTATCCCTGCTCTTGCTCACATGTTTACCTTCAAATCAGCTGCTGCTCGAGAGGTATATATATATCTACCATCATTAATCTTGCTTTAATTTTTGCATTAGGTTTAGGCTGTCTATGTTACATCCCTTGGGCAGGGGCGGATGCAGACCTAGTACTTTCGATGCGGTGTATAAATTTGTACGTAAAAATTTACTAAAATTGTTATAAATAGTAGATATGAACCCATAACTTAAAAACATAATGATGCTAACAATCTAAAAAATTGAAACCGCAAAGTTTAAATCCTGGATCCGCATTTGCCTTGGGTTACGACCCTTCAGTGGCGGATCTAGAGTGTAGCGTGCGGGAACCCAGTAGCTTTTGCACGGTCCTTGTATATGTATTAAAAATTCAATAAATATCTATAAATAATTGATTGTGAACCCAATTGATAATTTGAAATCGTTATAGGAACCATAAACTTCAAAGTCTGGATTCGCCTCTGCGACCCTTCCCCAGATCCTGCCTTGTCTAACTATATGATGATATTGGATTAGATACAACGTGAAAAATTAATTATAGAAAGCACAAAAGTTGTGCGAAATAGTATTATTAGTGATGCATCATAATCGAAAAGTCAAGTAAACAAGACCTATGCCTAGTCTTATTGAAAATAAAAGCTAACAAACTTTCCTTACGAACAAATAAATTTAATTTCAGTGGCATGTTGGCAAGGCAAATTCAGGATTTTAATTTATGGGTTCAAGACTCATGTTTCAACCGTTGAACCGATTATCTTATTTACGTTATGGGTTCATAGTTCAACATTTTTCAATAGTTTTAGTAGATTTTACATAAATAAATTCATGTCTAGACAAAAAGTTATGGGTTTAAATGAAGCCATACTTTAATTACTAGATCCGCCCCTCCATGTAAGCGGAGAAAGGTCGGAAACTATATGTAAGGAAAAGAGTGTCACACAAATTGAATAAACAACGTAGTATGTAGAACAAGTGTAGTTTACAGGTTATAATTGGTTGCTTTTGTCTTTTTTTCAAGTTTCTAAATCACGTTTATTGTAACGATTACCTATAGTTATCTTTCAAATTATCCCTGTAGGATGAATCAAATGCTAAATTACATACTTTTGTGATGCAGAATGCAGTAGAACAACCACCAAGATTTGTAGGAAGATGGGCTGGCACATTTACAATTAACATATTTGTAGTTGTTTGGGTATTCATTATTGGGTTTGGATTTGGTGGTTGGGCTAGTATGCTCAATTTCATTCATCAAATTGACACATTTGGCCTTTTCACCAAGTGTTACCAATGCCCAATTCCTAAACAATTCCCCACCCCACCACCGCCCTACGCCGCCGCTCCACAGCCTTCTCCGGCCAATTTAACTCACCCCCACCACCCATGAGCCGCCGGAGTTTAAAGGAGTTTTCAACAAAACCTAATTGGCTCTTTTTTCTCTCTCAATTGCCACGAGAATGTTGAAATGTGACAACAATAGTTCTTTGCTCCGAGGAAGAGATTTTCTTTTTACCTGAAAATTTTTATTTTAGCTAGAGTTGGAATATTGGTTGGAATTTGAAATGGAGTATGCAACAATAATTGTAATTTCGTTCTCTTATTTTTTATTACTAATGTTTATATTATATTAAATTGTGTAAATCGTCTGCATCTTAAAATTTAAGAGCTTAAAGATGAGATTCTTAAGCTTTGACTAATATGAATCTCCAATAGGGGTGAAGCTAACATACAGTTTACATGTTCTGTTAAATCCATTATTTTTTATCAAACTTTGTATTTCTTTTAAGAATTTCATTTACAACACACAAACAAAAAAAACTCAATGAAAACCTAATAATTATATATAAATTATTAATTTAGAATTTAATAACGTAAAAGAATAAGAATCTCTTATCAATAAGTTGAGTTCATTACTCAAATAGTTATCCAATTATCCCAAATTATCTCTTAAAGTCACTTTTCTTTCGTTTGTACAACAAAGTCACTGAACTATGCATACAGCACTCAGAAGGTCACTCAACTTGATTTTTCAAATTTTGGATTACCAAATACCTATTTTACCCTCTAAATTATAAATATTTATCTTCTTTTTATTTTTTTAAATTTTTTAATATTATGACTTTTCCTTTTTAGTTTATATTATGGACTTACCTATAGAATAAATAAATATTATTTATAAATTAAAAAAATAAAAAGTATCTAACCATATATAATGTCGGAATAACAAAATAATGAGCATAGGAAAAATATTAATTAGAATAATTTATTTGTAATAATAATTTTAATATCGGAAAAGACCTAAAAATGTCACTCAACTAACTTAAATGCCCTATCTATGTCATCCGTTAAAAGGTCGCCATATTCATGCCACTAGCGTTATACTTTTGGTCTATTTATGTTGTTATCTACTAACAGTTCCATTTTCTAGTTTTCAAATATTAAGAATTAATTTTTTAACCCCACCTTTGCCACATGTCTTTATATTACTGGTTCTTATTTACTTGACCCTATATTTCTTTTAACTCTGATTATGTATAATTAACCATGCCCAACTCCATAAAATCCAACCATCTTTTAACCCAACCCCTAATTCCTTGTCACAACCCAAAATTCAACTAGTCGTGATGGCCCTTATCCAGCCCGCTAGGTAAGCCAATTAACAACTACCTAATTTAATGAGATTTTTTTTAAGACAAATAAATGAAAAAATAATTGAACCTTAATACTTTTCCCAAGGACTGGTAGTACAAATCATGAGCTTCTAAGATTTAGATTTTACAAACTGAATTGAAATAAACACAACATCGATTTCAAATAAATACAAATCACTGAACACTGATCTTATCGGGTCGTGACAAGGAATTAGGGATTGGGTTAAAAGATGGTTGGATTTTATTCGGTTGAGCATGGTTAATTGTACATAATCAGGGCTAAAAGAAATGTAGGGTCTAGTAAAGAAGAACCAGTAATATAAAGACATGTGACAAAAGTGGGGTCGAATAAATAATTCTTCTTATTTAAAAATCAGAAAATGGAACTGTTAACCCATAATGGTATAAATAGGCCAAAAGTATAACGTTAGTGGCATAAATAGGCCAAAAGTATAATGTTAGTGGCATGAATAAGGTGACTTTTTAACGGATGACATATATAGGCCATTTATGTTAGTTGAGTGACATTTTTATGCCTTTTCTGTTTTAGTATTAACAATAAAAATTCAAAAATTTATTTGCACAATTCAGAATGAAAGAAAATAAAAGTTGTAAAATATATATTCCATGCACGTAATATAAAAATAATTATTTAAATAAAATTATTTTTATCTTATATTATGTATACTTGAAAATTATGTTCAATTATATTATTATGTTTCTACCAACTTTCCGCTGACATAAAGTTTTTATATTACGTGCATGGAATATATATTTTACAGCCTTTATTTTTTTTTCATTCTGAATTGTGTAAATAAATTTTTGAATTTTTGTTGTTAATACTAAAATTATTATTACGAACAAATTATTCTAATTAATTTTTTTACTATGCTCATTATTTTGTTATTCCAGCATTATATATGCTTAAATTTTTTTTATTTTTTACTTTATAAATAAAATTTATTTATTCTATAGATAAGTCCATAATATAAATTAAAAAAGGAAAAATTATAATATTAAAAAGTTTAGAAAAACTAAAAAAAGATAAATATTTATAATTTAGAGGGTAAAATAGGTATTTTGCAATTCAAAATTTGGAAAATCTGATTGAGTGACCTTCTGAGTGCATAGGCATAGTTCAGTAATTTTGTTGTTACAAACGAAAGAAAAGTAACTTTAAGAGATAATTTGAAATATTGAATGACCATTTGAGTAATGGACTATCATTAAGCTTTAAATTTTGACCCGTCTCTAGTATTACATGTTGAGATTTGATCGTCACGTCCTTGTCTTGGAGACACTTCGACCAAGGAAAGTTTGCTACCCTATCACTTTCTCCCGATATGTGAAAAAGGCGATAAATTCAGTTTTATTCATTCACTAAAGCCAATGTACGAGTTCATTTTTACTTATTTTAGTCAAAGATAAATTTTGTATTGGAAACAGACAAAGAAACAATAGGAATAAAAAAATAAAAACGTTTGTGGAGGTGCTCTGTTAGGAAGGACAGGAACAGCAATACGTGCTCTATTGTCCCATCACTTTGACCGTTCCATTATTGGACTTCATACTACCCAACTCAACAACAACAAGCAGCACGCACAGTGAAATCTACGAGTGGAGTTCGGGAAATGTAGTGTAGACAGACTTCTCCCAGCCTAAAGAAGGTGGAGAGATTATTTTCGAAATATTCTTGGCTCAAAAAAATTAAAATAAAATCATAAACAGACAATAGCAATAATCAGGTAATTAGATATGTGCGCAAATGAAGATACGTGCAATAACATATATTCTCTCCGTTTCAATTTATGTGAACCTGTTTGACTGGGTACAGAGTTTAAAAAAAAATGAAGACTTTTGGAATTTGTGGTCCTAAACAAATTAAAAAGGGGCCAGAGTATTTGTGTGGATTATAAAAGCTTCTCATTAAGGATAAAATTATAAGTTTAAGCTAAATTATTACCAAATTTAGAAAGGGGTCATTCTTTTTGGAACGGACCAAAAAGGAAATAAGTTCATATAAAATGGAACAGATGGAGTATCTAAGAATACGACACTATAAAAATAGATTAAGTCTTGCCGGAAATAATGACACAATGTGAAATAGCAAGGGGCTAGGCATAGCAAAATGTAAAACTAGTACTAATATTACTGAGATGCCTAGACGAAACTCTAGAGTACATGCCAACCCACAACCCAAATCCTCGACCTCTACACCCTCTTATTGAGGGTCATGTCCTTGATAAGCTGAAGTAGCGTCATGTCCTGTCTAATCACCTCACCCCAGTACTTCTTAGGCCTCCATCTACCCCTCCTCTGACCCGCTATGGTCAAGCTCTCACACCTCTTAATCAGGGTATTAAGGTCTCTCCTTTTCACATATCCAAACCATCTCAGCCTCGATTCCCGCAACCTTGTGATCGGGATGAGGTAGATGTCTCCCAGTCGGGGGGCGGATCGAATCGGAGTTTCCTTCGGTAGCCATCGACCTTGGAGAAGAAGCAAACAAAAGTACGCTCGCTTGTTGTATTGTTCTCTGTCGTGAACTGGGATCGTTATTTTCTATAAGAGTCACGCCCACCTTGTCCCTAATACACTCGTTCCTAATCTTATCACTCCTGTTATGTCCACACATCCATCTCAACATCCTCATTTGTCCTTAGTTAAGGTTTCCCACTTGATTTTAGGTTGCCCGTACATTGCTCTCTTCCTGCTTTCTCTCCTAATCTCAAACTCCAGTACCAAGAGCCTACATTTGGTTGAAAGCCACTCACTCGGTATAACCGTGCAATCAGTGCATAAGTCTCTATTACTCTTTCTGCAGAGAAGGTAATCAATCCGAGACCTGACCACCGTTCTCCGAAATGCGACCAAGTGATCCTCTCTCTTCTGAAAGCACGAATTAGCAACTACCAGATCAAATGCTTTGTTGAAATAATTAAAAAAGATAGTTATCCATCCATATTATTTATTAAAAATGAGTTGGATAATGAATTTTTCAAAAACAAATCAAAAATGGATAATAACCATATTATCCACTTAGAAAATGGGCAATTGATGAATAACTAATAGTTTTAACTTTTATATATGTAAAACCTCAAATTGGGTGCTCCTTAAGTTTGGAAGATTAGGAATTCTTTCAAAAGTGATCATATTCAAGAAGTCATGGATAATATGAATATCTATATTATTTGCCGATTAACTCATTATTTATATGTATTAAATATAAGTCGGTTCGATAATTTATCTATTTTTACATTACTCATTTTCGATTCCCTCATATCTGTGAGCACCTAATTTTTTACCATATTTCAATTTTCATATTTTTTAGTATAAATATTTTAAAGTTTAATTTATATATTTTAGTCTTTATTTCACCTTTGTAGGTTTTATTTAAGAAAATTAAAAATCACAAAAGCAGTTATTTTTTAGAAGTACATATTTTGTTTTTGTTTATTAATAAAAATCCACAAAAAACAATCTTATAAACTTTGTAGTATTAAATTAGCTATTGGTTTTGTTATTCTTCATTAGTGACTTTATTTATACGTTCTTGATTTTAAAATATATAGCTAGTATCTTTTACTTTATCCTATTAAAAGAAATAATTAAAGCAAGAGCCATTAAATTTTTATGTGACAAGATCTTTCCATATCTTGTCTTTAAACAACCTCACATTTGACTCACAAAAAGACAATGCACAGCACATACTTTTTGACTAAAAAGAAGGCAATGCACAATACACTTGACTAAAAAAAAAAAAGATAATGCAGGGCACACATTTTCTTTGGACTCTTGCTCTCCAATTGAGATCCCCAAAAAACACTCTATAAAAGATGCACACAAGCCTTCATTAAAGAGGCGGAGAGGAGAACAGATTTAAAAGCTAGCTTTGTTCCTCCATGAAACCCAGCGAAAAAATTCACTAAAACGGTTCTTAAAACCAGCAAAACACCAGCTCATAACTAAGTTACCTTGCACTAGAGTTCCGTCCGTTGAGTTTGCCACCGTCGTTGGAGTCTCGGTCATGATTCTGGGATGATTTAATGCTCATCGGCTCTGTGTTGAAGCTTTTCTCTGTTGCTATACAGTTTGCCTTGGAGATAATTTTATCACAAGGTCCATCTTTTATCTATTGTTTTTATATTAGTTTCATGCTTTATTATCATTTTGTGAATGTTTTATGACCAGCTTTGACATTAATTTCATTGCTTTGTTCTCTATCTAATTTAGTTTGTTTCACTGGTATGGAAGTCATGAAAAGTTAGTACATTTGTTTTCCTTTCGTAATCAAAATCCAAAGTTATAAGATTATGGGGATTATTAGATAGAGTTAGAAAAGTTAGTTAAATGTTTAGATATATTCTGTTAGTATTACCACACGATTTTTCACGGGCCTTACATAGTTATCAAAATTATTGTCTTATTTGTTAGACTAGTATGAAATTTTTAGTTTTAATGTACTACTAAAATTACATAGTATGAATGACTCTCTTAATATTAATAATGGTTGAGTCATACTATTTCATCCACAAGTGATTTCCATAATCTTTAGCCTTAAAATAATCTCAAAATTAGTTTTAAAAAAAATTCTTAATAATCGTTAGTATGCTTTAGGCGCGTATTAATAAATAAATTATCATGTTTATGTACACGTTCGCGTGATACACTTATGACTTCCAAAATTAAAATCGAAGTAAGCGTTCGGCAACTTTGGGCAAAACAATCTTAATAAAAGTGTTATTAATTGTGTACACACACGCGTGACATGATTTTTAATGCGCCGAATAAAATGGGTACACATACGCGTGACTCGTTTCAAGATAATTCCGTAATGCCTTAATCAAGCAATAAAAGCAGACATAGGAAAAACATAAAAATCATAAAAATCACAATTTATCCAAAATTATTTTAAGCTAAATGTAGTCAATAAATCGATCGTGCTAGAACCACGGGACTCGGGAATGCCTCACACCTTCTCCCCGGTCAACAGAATTTCTTACCCGAACTTTGTTTCTGCGGACCGATAAAAATAGAGTCAAACCTTCCTTTGACTAGGGATTCAAATAAAAGGTGACTTGGAACACCGAAAAATCAATTCCAAGTGGCGACTCTATAAATAAATAATCCCTACTCAAATTTGTCACTTCAATTGGAAAAACTCTTTAACCCACAATCCACAACACATAATATTTACATTTATCTTTTGGAGAGGTAAAAAAGGGGCGTGACAGCTCTGGCGACTCTACTAGGGACTTTAAGAATTCGAGCTTGTACATTGATTTTTTTTGGATTTATTAATTTTTGTATATATTGTGATGTTATTTGGGGCTAATGTGCTACTTGTGTTTTTTACCGCTTTGATATTGTTGAATTGTACATTATAAATTGTCTTCTCACGCACCCCTTCTGAGTCTTCTTGAAATTAAAATTGGGAATTTGCTTGGCATAGCCCGCTTTCTTTGAGATAGCCGAGGTGCTTGCCACCTAGTGAATAATTTTTAGTCACACATGTTCAGGCGGGGAGCACCACCAGTTAAGCCAAAAAGCAATGCTACTGGTACGTTGATCCTCCTTGGCTCGAGTTGTCCGCTCGAGTAAGCCAGTCTAGATACCTCATCCATCAGGATTTAAACCTAGATGAACAAACCTCATGTTGTATATCCCTAGTAGGTTCGTTTTATTCGCATCATAAGCATTTGACTTAGCGAAACTCGGCACAAGAGTCGGGTCCGTATAAGACATGTATCCTCTTTGAGACCATCATGACCACTTATGTGCTACTTGCTACATTATTTGGAAGGCTTGCTTACATTATTGACCGGCTTTAGAAAATTAGTTGAGCGAAGAAAAAAAAACCGTTCCCCCGTTTTTGGTACAAATAATCCGTTTTTCCATGTCTTTCACCGAACAAGAACTACAAGCGACATGATTCCCCTATAATCTGGGATATGTAGGTTGTCCAAAATCAAGACTCAGTTGCACTCTTTTCACTTTTATTTCTTCCCTTTTAAATAATGATATAGTAAAAAATTAGTCACATAACTCACCTTTTTTTTGTCTTAAAACTCTTCATATTTCCAAACAAATAGGGCATGCTTTGACCATGTTTCAATTTTCATATTTTTTTAGTATAAATATTTTAAAGTTTAATTTATATATTTTAGTCTTTATTTCACCTTTGTAGATTTTATTTAAGAAAATTAAAAATCACAAAAGGAGTTGTTTTTAAGAAGTACATATTTAGTTTTTGTTTATAAAACAAATCCACAAAAAAAAATCTTTTAAACTTTGTAGTGTTAAATTAGATATTGGTTTTGTTATTCTTCATTAGTGACTTTATTTATACGTTCTTGATTTTAAAATATATAACTAGTATTTTTTTACTTTATCCTATTAAAAGAAATAATTGAAGCAAGAGCCATTAAAATTTTATGCGACAAGATCTTTTCATATCTTCTCTTTAACCAACCTCACATTTTGACTAAAAAGAAGACTATGCACAATAAACCTTTTGACTAAAAAAAAAGAGATAATGCACGGCACACATTTTCTTTGGACTCTTGCTCTCCAATTCAGATCCCCATAAAACACTCTATAAAAAATGCACATAAGCCTTCATTAAAGAGGCGGAGGGGAGAATAACTTTAAAACCCAGCTTTGTTCCTCCATGAAACCCAGCGGAAAAATTCACTAAACCAGTTCTTAAAACCAACAAAACACCAGCTCATAACTAAGTGACGTTGCACTATAGTTCCCTCCGTCGAGTTTGCCACCGTCCTTGGAGTCTCGGTCATGGTTCTGTGATGATTCAATGCTCATCGGCTCTGTGTTGAAGCTTTTCTTTGTTGCTATACAGTTTGCCTTGGAGATAATTTTATCACAAGGTCCATTTTTTATTTATTGTTTTTATATTAGTTTCATGCTCTATTATCATTTTGTGAATGTTTTATGACCAGCTTTGACATTGATTTCATTGCTTTGTTCTCTAACTGATTTGGTTTGTTTCATTGGTATGGAAGTCATGAAAAGTTAGTATATTTGTTTTCCTTTCGTAATGAAAATTCAAAGTTATAAGATTATGGGGATTATTAGATAGAGTTAGAAAAGTTAATTAAATGTTTAGATATATTCTGTTAGTATCACCACACGATTTTTTCACGGGCCTTACATAGTTATCAAAATTATTATCTTATTTGTTAGCCTAGTAGTGAAACTTTTAGTTTTAATGTACTACTGAAAATTACATAGTATGAATGACTCTCTTAATATTAATAATAGCTGAATCATACTATTTTATCCACAAAGTGATTTCCATAATCTTTAGCCTTACAATAATCTCAAAATTAGTTTTAAAAAAAAATTCTTAATAATCGTCAGTATGCTTTAGGCGCGTATTAATAAATAAATTATCGTGATTATGTACACGTTCGCGTGACACAATTATGACTTTCAAAATTAAAAATCGAAGTAAGCGTTCGGCGACTTTGGGCAAAACAATCTTAATAAAAGTGTTATTAATTGTGTACATGCACGCGTGGCATGATTTTTAATGCGCCGAATAAAATGGGTACACATACGCATGACTCGTTTCAAGATAATTCCGTAACGCCTTAATCAAGCAATAAAAGCGGACATAGAAAAAACATAAAAAACATAAAAATAACAATTTATCCAAAATTATTTTAAGCCAAATGTAGTCAATAAAGCGACAGTGCTAGAACCACGAGACTCGGGAATGCCTCACACCTTTTTCCCGGTCAACAGAATTCGTTACCTGAACTTTGTTTCCGCGGATCGATAAAAATAGAGTCAAACCTTCTTTTGACTAGGGATTCAAATAAAGGGTGACTTGGAACACCGAAAAATCAATTCCAAGTGGCGACTCTATAAATAAATAATCTATACTTTAATTTGTCACTTCAATTGAAAAAACTCTTTAACCCTCAATCCACAACATATAATATTTACATTTATCTTTGGAGGGGTAAAAAAGGGGTGTGACAATATCCAACTCGACCCGCCCGTTTTCCACCCCTATCCCCAACCCGTTGGTCTAATAATTTTTCACACAAAGAATATTTACTTCACCTAAAATTGACATCAAATTCAATGGTAAAAGATGAACAAATAACTGGATTTCCTCGAGAAAAACAGCCGTCGCTTCAATTTTCCAAAGTAAACGTATTAAACAGAAGAAGAAAATGTAGTATTAAAAAGAAAAAGAACTTTGAAAAACAAAATTTTAAACATAAATTTTTTTTAAAAAAAAACACTAGTAGTGATTCTTCGTTCGAGGAATCGGTTTTATACAAATTTTGTTTTCGGTATTAACTTATGCACTAGTTATTTGTCGTTTAATATGAAAACCCAAACATTTGTATTCACTTATACTCCCTTCGCTCACTTTTACTTATCCAATATTGACTTTGCATATCTTTTGAAAAATAATAAATAAAGTAAATAATTTACTATAATACCCATATTAATTGGTGTATAGCCTTAATAGATTTGAAAAATAATTTAGAATTAGTAATTAATGCTAAGGGCAAAACAGAAAAAATAAATTATTTTTCTCTTAATATGCAAAAAGTAACAAGTAAAAATAAAATTTATTTTTAGAATACTTGACAACTAAAAGTGGACGGAGGAAGTGTTTGGATATATGCGTTATATTATGCAACAAGATAGAATATGCTGCTAATATTACAAAATGGATACAAGTATCTAAAAATTACAACCAAAATGCATAGAATTCCTACCCTTTGTATTCACTTAATGTAGTGCGGTAATAATTTACTCGCGCTCGATGTTTATATCAAATTGATGACAATAACGACAATAATAAATTCAGTGCAATTTCGCACGTGAGATCTGGGGAGAGTAATATATACGCAGACCTTACCCTTACCTTCTAAAAAAAAGAGGTTGTTTCCAGTAGACCCTCGGCTCAAGAACAGTGAAAAAGGGCGCAATAAACAAACAATAACAACGGCAAGAAAATAAGATAACGGAAATAAGTAGCACATCATGTAATAGCGAAAAAACTAGGAATACAAGCTATAAGAGAAGTGCGAAAACTACCGACAATAATGCCATATTGTCTAATCAACAAGAAACTCGTAATAAGAGAATACAAGACTAATACTACTAGTACGGCTAGAAGAGACTCTCAACTACCTATCACCCACAACCCTAATCCTCGACCTCCACACCTCTCTATCGAGGGTCATATCCTCGATAAGCTGAAGTAGTGTCATGTTGTGACGATCCGGCCAGTCGTCTCATGAGTTACTGCTCTGTTTTCCCCATTTCTACTTTTTTATGCTTTATTTATCCGTGTTATGTGATCGGGTTGATTGGATAGAGTTCGGAAATGATTTGGTAAGATTTGAGACACTTAGTCTCTTTAGAGTGAGTTTAAGTTAGAAAAGTCAACCGGATGTTGACTTGTGTGTTAGAGGGCTCAGATGTGAGTTCTGATAGTTCGGTTAGCTTCGGGAGGTAATTTGGGACTTAGGAGCGTGATCGGAATGAGTTTTGGAGGTTCGGAGTAGATTTAGGCTTGAATTGGCGAAATCGAATTTTTGGCTATTTCCAATTGATATGTGAGATTTTGATATAGGGGTCGGAATAGAATTTCAAGAGTTGCAGTAGTTCCGTTGTGTCATTTGAGAAGTGTGTGCAAAATTTCAAGACATTCGGACGTGGTTTGGTCGGGTTTCAGATCAAAAGCGGAATTTAGAAGTTTTTGGAAACTTAGGCTTGAATCCGATGTGTTTTGGTCGATTTGATTTTGTTTGAGGTGATTTGAAGATTGGTACAAGTTTGAACAAGGTTTTGGGATATGTTAGTGCCTTTGGTTGAGGTCCCGGGGGGTCTCGGGTGAGTTTCGGGTGATCAATCGGGCCATTCCATGAAGTGGAACATGCAGAAAATTGCAGGTCAGTGCTACAAAAAAATGACCTTCGCGTTCGCGAAGGGTCAGTGAGGAAGCTGGAAATTTAGCCTTCGCATTCGCGAGGGAGGCTCCTCGATCGCGAAGGGATGGGCATCTGTGCATCGCGTTTGCGGGGGGGTGTTGTCGCGTTCGCATAAAGCAAAAGGGCAGCTGAGCTTCTGTGGATTTTATTTATCGCGTTCGCGAGAGGCGGAACGCGATCGCGAAGGTTGGTATGAGCAAAGCATCGTGTTCGCGATCGGGATGTCGCGATCGCGAAAGAGGAATATTGGTCAAAGTTAATTTTTGCTTCGCGAACACGAGGCTTTGACCGCGTTCGCGAAGAAGGATTTCAGGCCTGGGCAGAAGGTTTAAAAGGTCGTCTTGTCCGCGAATGTGGGGTTTATTTCTTCCATTGTTGGTCGTTTTTGGAGCTTTTTGAAGGGGATTGAAGAGGGATTCAAGAGGAATCACTTAGAGGTAAGAATTTTGGACTTAAAACTCGATTCTAATGTGAAATCTACCTAGTAAATCATAGAATCTAGGCCAAAAATTGAAGAATTAGGGCTTGAGATTAAGAGACTTTAAAATGAGAATTTGAAGGGTCATTTGGACTCCGATTTCAGTGTTCTTGGTATGTATGGACTCGTGGGAGGATAAGGATTCCGTTGATGAGATTTTTATCGAGTGTCGAGACGTGGGCCTGGGGGTCGGGTTTGGCCAATTTTGGGATTTTTGGTATTATTGGATTGTTTTCGCTTGGGCTTCGTTCACTTAGCATATTTTGACGTTGTGATTCTGATTTTGGGTAGATTCGACGCGAGTGGAGGCCTATTCGAAGGTCAAAGGCGTCGCGAAGTAGTATTTTCACCGGTTTGAGGTAAGTAACCATTGTAAATCTGGAACTGAGGGTACAAAACCCCGGTATTGGACTTGTTTTGATAAATGCGGTGACAGACATGCTAGGTGACGAGCGTATGGGCATGCATTGATAGGGATTGTGGCTTGGTCCATCTCGTAGCGACTATTGAGCTGCGTATTTGATTTGAAACCTTATGATATTCCGTACTTTAGTCATTTATACTGTATTATAGGCTGTATGTCATGTTTGGGGCCTTGTGCCGACCTGTTGATACCCTTAGGGACAGTTTTACTATTTTTCCTCACTTTATTTGTTGAAAGCATATCCTCAGTCATGTTTTACTTGTTTAAAATTGGCTTTATCACTCCACTTCTAATTGTGAAGACTGTTTGGGCTGAGTTCCCTAATTTCTATTGTTGTGCCCGAGAGACTGTAAGGTTAATGACTGAGAGAGGTTGAAAACCTAATAGTGAGGATATTATATGTATATATTATGGATCGAGCTGCACGCCGCAATGATATATATATTGGATCGGGTTGTGCACCACAGTGATATGACGCTTGGGCTGTAGGAGCCCCTCCGGAGTCTGTACACCCCCAGTGAGCGTAGTCGACTATAAATTACGGATCGGGCTGCACGCCGCAGCGGTTACTATGATTGTTATTGCTACGAGATATTAATGAGCTTGAGTGCTGAGAGTGAGTATTGAGGGACGAGAGTTGAGTCACGAGTTATCGAGAGGCGTCCCGAGGGGCCATATTCTGAGTGATACCTTGCCCGAGGAGCCCATTTATGATATTTTCACTGATTTCACTCTTCTTTTGAAATAAGCCTTTGTTGTACAAAATTGCTAAGTATATGATTTCAAGTATTTAAACTGAAATTGATGATTTTTCGACGAAAACTGGTTTTAAACTGTGGAATTTGATATGTTATTCTGTTGTCTATTCATTCATATGATTTTTTAACTGCTCGTCATTGCTTTCAAACCTTATTTACTTTAGTTACTTACTAAGTTGGCGTACTCATGTTACTCCCTACACCTTGTGTACAGATCCAGGTGCTCGAGTGGTAGAGTGAGGGTCCTCATCTGATCCAGAGGTTGCCGGAGATTTCAAGATAGCTGCATGGCGTCCGTAACCCTGTTTCTCCTTCTTATCTTGTTCTTTTCCGCATTTTCTAGACTTATGTTGTATCAGACAGCCAGTTAAATAGTAGAGGCTCTAGACTCGTGACACCAGATATTTGGGCTATGTAGTTCATGCTTATTTGACTCCCGCTTATATTTTGTTGTTTTTAAACACTTATTATGAAAATTTGGTATTTAAACCAGCTTTAGAAAATGGTTTTATAAAAGGAATTTGTTGTAGTTAATGGTTTGGGTTAGCTTGCCTAGTAATGTGATAGGCGCCATCACAACCGAGTATTTGGAGTCGTGGCAAGTTGGTATTAGAGCCTACGTTACATAGGTCTCGCGAGTCATAAGCCGATTTAGTAGTCTCGTGGATCGGTACAGAGACGTCTGTATTTATCCTTGAGAGGCTGTAGAACCTTTAGGAAAACTTCATATTCTTGAAATTCTTGTCGTGCGAATTTGTTGATCCGAGTACTAAACTTCTATTATTCCATTCTCTCACAGATTGTGAGGACACGCGCTACCAGGCAGGATAGACGACCGCCAGAACCACCAACTGGGTCCACTAGAGGCCGTGGACGCGGTCGAGGCCGTGGTAGGGGCAGAGCAGCTAGGGCAGCACCTGCAGATCCACCAGCTGCCCTAGTTCAAGATCAGGTCCTAATTGTGGATGCTACAACAGCACCAGCTATGCCCATTGTGATTTCAGGCCTTCAGGAGGCTTTAGCTCAGATCTTATTAGTGTGTACCGGTTTGGCTCAAGTGGTTTCAGTTACTACGGCCGCAACTACTTCTCAGGCCGGGGGAGGCACCCAGACTCCCGTTGCTCGCACACCTGAGTAGGTTGTGTAGGGACTCCAGACACCGGGGGCACCTCTAGCCCAGTCGGTTGCACCAGCTTAGGAGTTTGTGGTACCAGTTATGCCAGACGACGAGCAACGTAGATTAGAAAGCTTTAGTAAACTCAAGCCTCCGACTTTTAGCGATGCAGAGGGCGAGAATGCCCAGGGGTTCTTGGATAAGTGCCAGAGGATGCTTCGTACAACGGGTATTCTAGAGACCAGTGGTGTGGCTTTTACCACATTTTAGTTTTTTGGGGCTACCTTCACTTGGTGGGAGGCGTATGAGAGGCGTAGGCCTGTCGGTGCAATGCCCCTTACCTGGCAGCAGTTCTCTGTTCTCTTTCTGGATAAGTATGTGCCATAGTCTTGCCGAGAGGAGCTACACAGGCAGTTCGAGCAGTTGCATTAGGGAGAGATGACTGTGACATAGTATGAGATACGGTTCTTTGAGTTATCTCGTCATGCGATCTGGTTGGTTCCGACAGATAGAGAGAGGATTATGAGGTTTGTTGATGGTCTCACATATCAGCTTCGGATTCTCATGACTAGGGAAGGGTGACAGGTGCTACTTTCGAGGAGGTTGTTGACATCACCCGTGAGATTGAGTCGGTTCGCTGCCATGAGCGAGAGGAGAGGAAGGACAAGGTTCCTCGGGGATTTGGTAGCTTTAGTAGTGCTCCTTCGAGGGGTCAGTTCCAACAGGGCAGAGGCCGTCCATTTAGACAGGCTCATTCAGCTCGCCCAATTTATCGTGGGGCATCATCAGGTCATGGTTCTCATAGTTCTCATTAGGGCCACGCATCACTCAGTGCCCTCCAAACCCAGAGTTCATCTCGTGCTCCATCAGTGCAGGGTTCTTCCATGCCAGGTCCTTCTACTGGTCATTCCAGTGCCAGGGGTTCCCTTCAGTCCCCATCTCCAACACCGGGGAGTTGTTATGAGTGTGGAGAGTTTAGGCATATGAGGAGGCAAGGTCCTCGTCTTCATGATGGTCAGTCTCAGCAGAGGGGTCAGCCCTCGACTTCTGCTCTAGTTACTTCACCACCCGCCCAGCCAACTAGAGGCGGAGGTCAGTCAGCCTGGGGTTACCCTAGAGGGGGAGGTCGATCAGGTGGTGGTCAGGCTCGTTTCTATGCCCTCCTAGGTAGACCAGATGCTATTGTTGCTTCAGATGCCGTGATTTCAGGCATTGTTTCAGTCTGCCACAGAGATGCCTCTGTATTATTTGATCCCGGTTTCACCTTTTCTTATGTGTCATCATACTTTGCTCGTTATCTGGATATGCCCCGTGAGTCTCTTGTTTCACCTGTTCATGGATCTACTCTAGTGGGCGATACTGTTATTGTAGACCGTGTGTACCAGTCGTGTGTGGTGACTATTAAGGGTCTGGAAACCCAAGTGGATCTTTTATTATTGTGTATGGTGGATTTCGATATCATTTTGGGCATGGACTGGTTATTTCCGTGTCGTGCTATTCTGGATTGTCATGTTAAGACAATCACATTGGCTATACCGGATGTGCTACAGATTGAGTGACGAGATTTGACTGATTATGTTCCCAGTAGAGTGATCTCATTCTTGAAGGCTCAGCGTATGGTTGGTAATGGATGTCTTTTGTATCTAGCCTTCGTGATGGATGTCGGTGTTGAGACTCCTAGTATTGATTCTGTTCCAGTTTTAAGGGATTTTTCCGATGTGTTTCCTGCAGACCTACCGGGCATGCCACCGGACAGGGACATTAATTTTGGTATTAACCTGGTGCCGGGCACTTAACCCATTTCTATTCCACCGTATTGTATGGCACCAGTGGAGTTGAAGGAATTAAAAGAACAGCTTCAGGAACTCCTCGATAAGGGGTTCATTCGGCCTAGTGTGTCACCTTTGGGTGCACCGGTTCTATTTGTGAAGAAGAGGGATGGCACTATGAGAATGTGCATTGATTATAGACAATTGAACAAAGTAACAATTAAGAACAAATATCCTTTGCCTCGTATTGATGATTTATTCGACCAGCTTCAGGGAGTAAGAGTGTTCTCCAAGATTGATCTTCGTTCAGGTTATCACCAGTTGAAGATTAGGGACTCGGATATTCTTAAGATAGCTTTCAGGACCTGATATGGTCATTATGAGTTCTTGGTGATGTCATTTGGGCTGACCAATGCCCCATCAGCATTCATGCATTTGATGAACAACATGTTCCGGCCTTATCTCAATTCGTTTGTCATAGTCTTTATTGATGATATTCTAGTGTATTTGCGTAGTCAGGAGGAGCAAGCGGAGCATTTGAGAGTTGTGTTGCAGAGATTGAGAGAGGAGAAACTTTATGCAAAATTCGCCAAGTGTCAGTTTTGGCTCAGTTCAGTGGCTTTCTTGGGGCACGTGGTGTCCAGCGAGGGCATCCAGGTTGGTCCGAAGAAGATAGAGGTAGTTTAGAGTTGGCCCAGACAGTCCTCAGCCACAGAGATTCGCAGCTTCCTTGGTTTGGCAGGCTATTATCGCCAGTTTGTTTAGGAATTCTCATCTATCGCATCGCCCTTGACCAAGTTGACTCAGAAGGGTGCTTCATTTGTATGGTCGGACAAGTGTGAGGAGAGCTTCCAGAAGCTCAAGACAACTTTGACCACAGCTCTAGTGTTAGTTTTGCCATCAGCTTCAGGTTCATATATCGTGTATTGTGATGCTTCGAGAGTTGGTATTGGTTGTGTTTTGATGCAGGAGGGTAGAGTTATTGCTTGTGCTGCTCGTCAGTTGAAGCCCCATGAGAAGAACTACCCCGTTCATGATTTGGAGTTGACTGCCATAGTTCACGCGTTGAAAATTTGGAGGCATTACTTGTATGGTGTGTCTTGTGAGGTGTTTACTGATCATCGTAGCCTCCAGCACTTGTTCAAACAGATGGATCTCAATTTGGAGTAACGGAGGTGGTTGGAGTTGCTTAAGGATTATGATATCACTATATTCTACCATCCGGGGAAGACCAATGTGGTGGTCGATGCTTTGAGCCGAAAGGCGGTGAGTATGGGGAGTTTGGCATAGATTCCAGTTGGGGAGAGACCTCTTGCAGTTGATATTCAGGCCTTGGCCAATCGGTTCGTGGGATTAGATATTTCGGAGCCCATCTGGGTATTAGTTTGTGTGGTTTCTCGGTCTTTCTTATATAATCGCATTAGAGAGCGCCAATATGACGATCCGCATTTGCTTGTCCTAAAGGACAGAGTTCAGCATGATGATGCCAGAGATGTGATCATTGGTGATGATGAGGTGTTGAGGATGTAGGGCCAGATTTGTGTGCCCAATATGGATGGGCTTCGGGAGTTGATTCTAGAGGAGGCCCATAACTCACGGTATTCCATTCATCCGGGTGCTGCGAAGATGTTTCAGGATCTGAGACAACATTATTGGCAGAGAAGAATGAAGAAAGACATTTTGGGATTTGTAGCTCGGTGTCTCATTTGTCAGCAGGTGAAATATGAGCATCAGAGACCGGGTGGCTTGCTTCAGTAATTGGATATTCCTGAGTGCAAGTGAGAGAAGATCACTATGGACTTTGTTGTTGGACTTCCACGGACTTTGAGGAAGTTCGATGCTATTTGGGTGATTGTGGATCGGCTGACCAAGTTCACGCACTTCATTCCTATGAGTACTACGTATTCTTCAGAGCGGTTGGCAGAGATCTATATCCGGGAGATTGTTCGGTTGCATGGTATCCCAGTTTCCATCATTTCAGATAGGGGCACTCAGTTTACTTCGCAGTTTTGGAGGTCTGTGCAGCGAGAGTTGGGTATGCAGGTTGAGTTGAGCACAACTTTTCACCCTCAGACGGACGGGCAGTCCGAGCGCACTATCCAGATATTGGAGGACATATTACGTGCTTGTGTCATTGATTTCGGAGGGTCATGCGATTAGCTTCTACCGCTTGGAGAGTTTGCTTATAACAACAACTACCGGTCGAGTATTCAGATGGCTCTGCATGAGGCTTTGTATGGAAGGCAGTGTAGATCTCCGGTTGGTTGGTTCGAGCCCGGTGAGGCTAGGCTATTAGGGATAGACTTGGTGCAGGATGCTTTAGAAAATGTGAAGGTGATTCAGGAGAGGCTTCGTATAGTGCAGTCGAAACAAAAGAGTTATGTTGACAGGAAAGTTCGAGATATGTCCTACATGGTTGGCGAGAAGGTTCTATTGAAGGGTTCGTCCATGAAGGATGTTATGAGATTTGGGGAAAAAGGGAAATTGAGTTTGCGGTTCATTGGACCTTTTGAGGTGCTTCGGAGGATTGGGGAGGTGGCTTATGAGTTTGCGGTTCATTGGACCTTTTGAGGTGCTTCGGAGGATTGGGGAGGTGGCTTATGAGCTTG